CCCCAAAACCCCAAAACCCCAAAACCCCGCGACATTAAAATTGTAAAAATTTGAGGAATGAGAATAAAAGGGATATCGTATTGATTTAATGAATTAAATTATGGAATAAATTGATAGCATTAGAGTCAAGTTGAGATATAGAAACAAGCAAAGTGATTGGATGGAGGAGTCCTTGGGATGCTAAGTCATGCCTAACATCTAGGATAATGAAATATTCTACGATAGCTCTAGTAAGAAAAAGCCCTTATCGCCTTCTAATAGGAGTGAGTTACTAACCTCATAATCCCCATGTAGCAAGACAAACGTAGCTTTATTGGACAGAGTAGCAGATTATTAATAATCTCCTCAGCCACCTTCAGCTAATCCTTAAAGTCCTAGCAAAGTAAGGCAATAGAAAGTTTTTATAAAGAAGACTAATGCTCTTACAAGAGCAACTGAAAGGAATGGAGTCAAATATATACCTATTACTGTAAACATGGCGAAACTGTAAATAAAACATGCAAGACCCCAGATTTAGAGTTTCACAAGACAGCAGTCTTAGATTAAGAGAATAAAGAGTTTTAGAAAGTAAACTGTTGAGCTAAATTATAGAACGGAGGGGCAGCAATCAAGAAACTCCCGCCCTAGCCAAATGAAAATTAATAATAACAGTTCATAGCTGATAGATAATTCTTTAGTTTTGCAGAAAACTATTATCAATCTGAATATGCCCCAGCCAAAGACATCAAATACAACAATGTCAGCCTCTTCGAGATTGAAATCGGCAAACACTATTTAGAAATCTCTGGCATAAATAGTGCAACCTCTAATCCAGCCAACTCTAAGCAATTAAAACCAATCCTATATGCTATTTCAGAACTAAATGGACTCGTTCTCTAACAATCCTCTTAACATTAGCACATTTTCGCATAGCAATCACCATTAAAATTCAGCAAGCTATCATAACAATAATACGCTACTTCCAGAGGGGAATCACTCTCAGAGTTATATGGTGAAGACCCAAATCAACTTCATGAATTCTACGAATTCTTCCAATATGTTTCTGAGTCATGCTGGCGGAGAAATAAGAAACAAGCAAAGCATAATTACTCTGCAGCCAGTTATAAAAGTCAGGCATCCTTTAAAAGGCTTATCTCCCTATCAAAATAATGAGAGCCTCTCAAAGTAGTCTCGTAGAAGTATTATAGATAGGAGGATTGAAGATCTCAATATGTCTTTGTCTAAACTTAACGATATTCAATATGAGTCGGAGACCCCAACCACAGTTTTATCAAGATCTGGCTATAGACCTCAGAGTCTGTCTGGAGTGATGCAAATTGGGTCTTCAAAGGCAAGGCAAATCAAGAACAGGCTTAAGTCGTTTCAGCACTTCAACGATTACTATTATCAACAGCAAAATCAAGACAACTTCAGTGAGGAGAGAAAACGCAAATACAACAACATCCTTAGCAAGATTAGCAAGCAAAGGTACGACCCTAAATGGCTATAGAAGCAAAATTCTTCAAACTAAGAGTCGGAAAAGTAAGAATCCTCATTCTTAAAAAGTTAAAATTAATTTCATCAATAAAAATTAAATATCTGCTTTATATTAAAAATTTTAAACTAAAGGGGTTTTGGGGTTTTGGGGTTTTGGGG